GCTGCTGCAGTGCCCGACCCCATCCTGATATTTAAGTGTTTAATTAAAAGCTTATTTTCAAGCAGCGAAGTAATCTTCTGTTACCTCTAGTGCTGCAATCCCATGATGTTGGATACTCTTCTGAAGGCCCAGTTCTCAATTTCTGCATAATGTTTTTCCCTGTTTTCGCTTGGGTGCGTGAAGCAAAGGTGATGAGCTGCCAGCTGTCCATCTGTGTGGGATCCCAGCACCTGGTTGGGAGAGGCAGCCAGGTCAGGACGGCAGGTAGAGGGAACACTGTGCACCAGTGGTGGCTTGGTGTGAGCTGCAGCAGTCCCATCTCATGGGGGGCCGACTGCAAATCCTATAAAGTTGTGATTATTTTCCTTTGCTCAGTGCTTGATGGTGGGGCAGGGCAGCAGCTCTGGCACAGCACAGCATGTGCACAGCTGAGCTTTGCCCTCGCACAAAGAATGCATTTGGCTCTGAGCAGGGAATGTGTCCCCTTCACAGGGATGCTGCACACTGCTGGGGCAGGCTGCCATGGGCTGTGGGTCCTCAGCTTGGCTCCACCAGTGCCCCCAGGGCTTGACTGCTAAGTCCTACCTCCTGGTTTTCGGGAGCGTGGCATTTGCTGAACAGGGCATCTGGAGAAGGAGGGCAGAACCGGGCATGTTTGATGGGATGGTTTTGTTGTTAGCTCTGCCATTTTCAGTAGATACAGTTTGGAGTTTCTTTGTGACCACCTAAAGGATTTGTCGTTGAGGTCTGCAGTTAGACAGCAGAGGGGATGCCTGGAGAGTGCAGCTCTCGCAGGGCAGAGCTAGACCCCAAACGTGTCCCACAGCAGTGGATTTACCCTGTGCTGGCTGCAGGAAAATAAGCCCTGGTGGAGTAAGCCAGGCTTTCTGGCTGTGCCCACTGCTGGTCCCTCCATCACCCCTGCACTTGATGCTTCTCTGGTTTCTACTTCTCTGGGAGCTGTGGGCACCATACAGCCAGTACAAGGCTGTTCCCTGCCCTCAGTGCCTGCAGCCCCTAAGCAGGAATCCCTGAGGCATTGCAGGGTTTTGTTGTTGGGGAAGGGAGACATAGAGCTCTCCCCTCCACCACCCAGCTCCTCCATCCCCCGTGGCCAGGCATCATCATCTTACCCAGACTCTTCTACATTCCAGCGAAATCTTGGCTCATGCCAGTTGTCTTTTCCCCTGACCTGCCATATTAACTTAGCTTTTTCCTTTCTACCATTTTGAGTATGGTACTTTAAACAGCCTGATACCCATAGTTTAAATTTAGCCTCTAGAAGGTCACTGAGCTGTACTGGGAATCTAATCCTGTTGTAAAGAAGTCTTGGGTCAATTAATTGCCTTAATTTTTAAAAATAATGACTGTGGTTCTACACTGCAGCCCAGCCACCCTCTACCTGCCAGCACCCTGCCCAGGGGTCGATGTCAATGTTTCCGGCCCTGTGTCTCAGGTACCTGCCTAAAAGTGGGCAGAGGTTCTGACTTGTCCCACAAGGCTGTGTATAGTGATGGAGAAGGAATAAATGTATGGGAGATGTGATGGGGTGTTAATGACTGACTGCCAGGTGTTCGTGACATGAGGCGAAGTGCAAGAGTATCGTGGGGGAAAAACCACAACTGATCCAACTGTGATAAATGGGACTGGGGCACAGTTCTGGATGTGCACACAGGTGTCCTGGCTGTGCTCCCATGTAAAGGCTGAAAACCTGGGAACAACAAAAAAAGAAGGGTCAAAATTTATAATCTTGACAAGAGTCTGTATTTTAAGAAATTCCATGATTTTTAGGGAGCTGACTCAGGATTTTTGAATCCTAAGAGCTGGCAGTGCTGAGGTGTGTGATGTGTGGTATTAGCCCCTGGCCTGCTGCGTTGTCCTTTGTCTATCTCTGTGTGTGTATATACAGATAAAAAATACATATATATTAAAAATGTACGTGAACACACAAAACCACATACATACACGTATATATAGGTGTATAAGGGATGGTGGCACAGGGCAAGCAGGCACATCTCTACCTCTCCCTATCACTCTCTGTGTCTAGGTGCATACAGTTGCCCTGGGAGCTACAGCTATCCCTGTTGTTCCCCAAAGCTGTGGCCAGGGCAGTGCTGCTGTGTGACCGTGGTGGCCTTGGCCGGTCCTGAAGGAGTCAGCAATTGCACAGATTTGTAGGCATGTGCACGAAACTTTCCAAAGAGTTTGCTTTAAGCCCAGGAACTTCTAGCAGTTGGAGAAAAAGATTGTCAGAGGGATGGAGCATGCTTGAGACAGCGGCACTGCGCCAGTCAGATTTCAGAATTTATTTGGTTTATAAATATTTCATTTAAATGTCATTTTCCCTGATTGTGATTGAAGCAGTTTGCTGGATCAGCTCAGGTGCCGCTGAGTCCCAGATTCCTGGAGAGATCATCCCTCAGGAATGCAGGTCTCTGGCCAGAGGGCCACCCCATGCGGGGCTGGGGGGGATGAGGAGAAGGTGAAGTGGGATAAAGGGTCAGGGAGAGGTTAGTGGGAATTGATCCCCATGGAGGCAAGTGGTGATGTGTGTGCGCTTAAATAGGATGGGGGAAGACTTTATTCCTCTTTTTCTTTTCCTTGGGACATTTGCCCAGCAGAGTTGGTGATTGCTGAGCAAGGATCGCTGGGAACACTAGCGTGTACTGGTGCCAGACACCTGCTGCTTTTGGTGTATATTTTTCTGACCAAGAAAGAAGTGAAGAGCTCAGAGCTGAATTTCCATCTTCATCCTCACAGGTTCATATACCTGTGGATCAGTGGGTGCTCCGGGTGCTCACCTGACCCAAATGTAGTTTGAAAACCAAAGCTCTGGGTCATTGGGCCAAATGAGAGTTGAGGGTTGTTCTCTGCAGGCTGAATTCACCACCATTAACATCACCATTAGGGCTTAGAGCCACTGGCTTCATCGGTGCCATCCCGGTCTCATCCTGCACCATGGTTGGCAGGAGCTGCCTGGCTCCAGGGTCTGGCCTCAGGATGCATAGCCCTATTCTCTCCAGATATAGGACTGATTGACTGTGTAACTGTATGAAATTGTCTTCCTGGTTCTTTGACTGGTAGTCCAGGGACTGGCATAAATGGATGTTTGTTATATTGCCTAACTCTGTCCTGTAAAATCCGTGTCTGCTTTTCCAAACACCACAGGAAAACAGTGCTTATGGAAAATGGCCTCTTTGCTAGTTGTGTTCCTTCTGCGAGCTGGGCGGCTTCTGTAGAGCTCTGGGAACAAATTTGTTCATAGCAACATTTTTTGTTTTTCAAAAGCATAGTGCTGGGCCTGTTAGTTTACAGTAGCTCCTGCAGCTGCAATAATGCAACAGAAGCTCACATTTTCTGTGGGTTCAGTGTGGATACACAGAAATGCTTTACTGGATCTGTCCATCACAGCGCTGAGTGCATCCCATCCCTTGTGAGTGTGGGGATTTGGCACTTTGGCAAAAAGGCACCCCATCCCTGCCCTGCTGAGCTGGCACAAAAAGCAGAAACATGCAGGTCTCTTGAAACAACCACCTGCTTCCAGTGCCTGGACAGCCATGGCCGCTTGCTTTTCTCCTGTCCTAAATGAGTGACCTTCCCTCTTGACATTTTCTTCCATCGTCCTCTCAATGGACTTGCAATAAATGGTGTGGGGCAACAAATGAATTTGGGAAGACCCAGCACCCTTCTCTTGTTGCAGGGCTCATCCCACTCTTCTGGGGAACATTGTTCTGCTCTCTTTGCCTTTCCTTAACCTGTTTCAGTCATGTGTTTTAATTTTATTTCTGCACAGCTTTTCCTGTTCATGACATTTACAAGACGGGGAAAGCTCAGCAATCTCCTGTTTGCGTGGGACACCTCTTCAGTCTCCAGCACTTACCCACCAGCTCTCTATAGAACTCCCCCAGGGTTTATTTTAAATATTAATGGCTTTAGTTTTATGAAGTCCCTAGGACCTAAAGTGGTGTTTTTCAGTTTATGATGTGAGAGCTCATCATCAGCTTCTTCTGATGCTTCTGTGTCCAGCTTGCTCCCCCTGGGCATGGGGCAGCAGTTGGGCGTGCGGTGAGGTGGGTGAGCTGTGCCCTTCAGGGGGCTCAGAGGCACATTGGCATGTCTTCACATGGGTGGCTTAGGAGAGCCCCTGTGCTCCCCTTCCATCCCTGTGTGGGGAGGACCAGGAGCACATCCAGACTGAGGCAAAGGGAGGGCGGGGGGGACGGAGGGGTAGTGCCATGCCATGTCTTGCTCCATCACTGCCCCCTGCCAACACCTGTGATGGCAGTGGAGCCGAGGGGACCTGCTGGCTCCACTGCCCCCTCTGAGGTTGAGGTGATGTGCTGCGCTGGCGCTAGCAGCTCCCGTGTGTTCTGGTCCCCTGGTCCCCAGGCCAGAGATGCTTTTATTGTCAAACCTGTTCAGTGCTGTCCACCTAAGTAAAATGGACCATTCCTGATTTTCCCACTTCATGCTGAAGGTTCACTCTGCACCAAAAACCTTGTGCAGAAATAATTCTGGATGTTTCTAGTTCCTTATTAATTGGTCACCACCTAATGAAGCAACTTTATACACCATGCAGTGCTGGCTTTCTCTTTCAGTTAATGTCTTCTACCAACAATTAAAGGGTTTTCTGTAGTCTATCCGAGCCCTAGGGTGCTTGGCATGCCTCACATTTAGCTGCCTGAAGCTGTTTTCCACTTAAACAGGACAGGAACTATGGCTGAGGGGTTGTTTTGCACTGATGACTAATGCCTGCTCGCAAGAATATGTACTTTATGCATGCAAAGGTGCCTGATGGAGAAAGAACAGTGGAATAGTGGGCTCAGGTAATCAAGCTGAGTTTACTATTAAATGTTTTATTTTCCCAAGGAAACCAACAAACAATGTCTGTTCTGATGATTTCTGTCAGCCCCCTTCAAAGTCCAGGGAAGGAGAGAAAGGCAGAAAGTCAGCAAAAGCTCTGGCTTCATTTTAGTGGAAATTTCTGTTTCTTCCTGCAGTTGAAGTGAAAATTGAGGTTGTGATACCCGAGAAGGAGAGAAGCAAGGAGGAGATGTCGCCCAATGGGAAAGCCAGTCCCTTGATCTACAAAGTCAATGGGACTGCCCGGCATTATCATCTCGAGGAACATCCCATTGCGAGCAATCCCTATCACAACCCAAAGGATGTGGTGGAAGCATCCGTGTGTCATGTGAAGGACCTGGAGAATGGACAGTAAGTGAATAAAATCTTTGCAGGTAAAACTTGGGAGACCTTATACTCCAAACCAAACCACCTATCTTCTTCTTTACAGTTTCTGGAGATTATAATTTTACTCGATAACATTTTTTTTTTTCCCTTCTCTTAAAAAAATGACATCACGGACAAGTGACAACTATTTTTTACTGGAAGGTCTGCTGTTTCTTGCACCGCCCACCCTGAGACTTGTCTTAGAAAGATGCGATGTTTGGTAGCAGAACTTCTCAGCAGGCTCTGCTCATCTTGTATTAGATAACCCTGACTATTTTTTATAAGTTTATAGCTTTAGTAGTTTTACAAAGCATCATGAGCAGCACATGGGGGGAGCTGATGGGCAGATCATGTGCTCCACCACTTCTCCAGTGCATTGCTCTTTTAGCTGAGCTCATCTCTTTCAATTTGCTCTTTAACCAAGGATGCAGTTTTCAAATTTTTTCGCTAATGGCAACACACTTCAGCTGTGTATAGTTTCATTACTCAGGTTTAAGGGTTTTCTGAACTCTAAAAGATGTCTGTCCCAGTCACTGTGCTTTACAGGCTGGTGTTTCTTTTCTGGGGTAGATGTACCTTTTCTGCAGCATGTTCTGATAGTCTGATGACCAACATCCTTTTATTCCAGCGAGGGGTGTTGTCAGGTGTGTAGGCCACAGCAGGAGTCTGGCAGCTATTTGCTTTAAATTGAACTGTTACTTGTGATAATATTCTGGAATAGTCCATTTAATACAAGCAGCTTTGTGCTAAGCTTAAGGGGCTTCATAGGCTATAAATTCTTCTTGTTAGGTAAGTTCATCTAGGAATAAACTGGTTGGTTTTTTTTTTTTCCCACTGTGATGGGAATTTATGTATTAGACTTCTACAAAGTGATGCACTCTGTTGGATTAAATCTTCACATGATGAGGTGTGGCTGACTCTGCAGGCTCTGCTGCAGCGTGGAGAAATGTGAGAGGTGGGGGTGAAGACTCAGTAGAGATGCACTGGCAAGCACAGTGGGTGCAGGGCTGCTTCCAGGAGGTAATGGGCAACCTGCTTCCTCCTGCGCAGGTGAGCAGCAATAGCAAGGTTGGGGAGGAGGAGACCTGGGGTAGAGCATAGGCAGTGACTGGGATTGCCTGGAAGTTGGAATGAAGCAAAAAGGGGAGACTGCCCGGGAAATACTGGATGCACAGGGAGGGTCCTGTCCCGGTGTCAAGATGTAGCCTAACAGCTGAACACCAAGTGATCATGGAGGCAGCTTCTGCTGACTTTGTGGTTAGGGTGTTGCTAAGACTGTGCTCTGCTTTGGTGCCCTGTTGCAAGAAGGACATTGAGAAATCAGAGCTTCAATAGATACGTTGACTGGAAAGCATGCAGTGTAGTAGATGGAAAGATTTGAAGAGCTCTGCCAGTCACAGAGAAGGTGAGGAGGGAGCTGGCTGCAGTCCCTGAGAACACACCTGGCTGCAAGTGGCTGTAGCAGGAGTTCCGCAGCTGAAGTCAGGGCTAGAAACTGGCATTGGTCTGGAAATGGGGCTCACACTTCAACTGTGTGTGCATTCAGCTACTGAAACATGCTACCAAGTATGGCAGTGGACTTCCACCACTGGGCATTTTAAATTGAGAATAGCTTTTTTTTTTAGCTGACAGGATCTAGCTCAAAAGAGAGGTGCTGTGAGAAGGTCCCACAGCTCATGTAAGCAAAGGGCCAGACCAAAGGAGTCCCTTCTTGCCCTGATATCCGGAGTGATTTTCTGGGATGCTTCTCTCGAGTACTGCGCTGCGCAGTGGTGTGCATGGGCACAGCAGTAGGTGCGGGGCACTGGCACAAGGGTTCAGGCGCCTCTTAAGCTGTGTAGGTAGCACCTGCAAGCACAAGATATTCTTTCTGCTCACCCTTTCTCCCTTTCTCAGCAGAACCAGTAAACGATACTGGTGCACCCAGCTAGCCTCGCAGCAGGCTAACTGGGGGAGGTCAGTGCACTGCAAACAGAACACAGTCCCCGGTGCTGCCTCAGCTCCTGAGCAAAGATTCTTTGCAGGCCAGAGCTTAGTTTTAGCTCATGCTTTCCAAGTGGGGAGTGGAGTGGGGCAACAGGACAAATTCCCAACTGAGCTAATAGCTCACGATACTGGTGCACCCAGCTAGCCTCGCAGCAGGCTAACTGGGGGAGGTCAGTGCACTGCAAACAGAACACAGTCCCCGGTGCTGCCTCAGCTCCTGAGCAAAGATTCTTTGCAGGCCAGAGCTTAGTTTTAGCTCATGCTTTCCAAGTGGGGAGTGGAGTGGGGCAACAGGACAAATTCCCAACTGAGCTAATAGCTCAGCAGGACAGGAGCCTTGCAGGTGGGTGTGTGCTGTCTTGGAGACACCAGGTCTTGTTTTTGACTCTCAGGTCCTACAGTTCCTTGGGCAAGTTGTAAACTCTTTCACTTATCTTATCTTCCCATAGACTTATGGTTGTCATTTAACGAGAACCAAGGTTTTATGTGAAGTACTGCATAGCTGAGGAATGCAGTAGGACTTGTATTGCCTGTGTGGAAGGAAGGACCTCCAAGTGCCAGTGTCTTACACGGAGGGGGAGCAGAGCTGCATCCCTTGGGGGTGGGGCTGCCAATTTAGTGGGACAGAACAGCTCCCAAGGGCAAGCGTGATGAGCTTTGCTGCTGGTTTTGCCAGAGGTGGCAAGGGAGTCAAATATTTGCTGTTAGTCTAGTGGTACAGTTGATGCAGGTGGAGCAGGCATCTGCATGAAGCCTTGTTCAAGATGGGTTTGAAGGTGTTACAGAGGTGCTGGTGGACTGAGCCCTGGTCTCATCTCCGTGTTGTGAAGCAGAGAGGGGGACAGGTGTCTCTGTAGCCTGGGTGCAAGTGACAGGGTAGAGTTGGGATGTTACCCCAAGAGGAATGAGCAGGCAAAGTGAGTCCTATTCATCTGAGACCCAGGGACCCATTGTGTCTGAATGGCATTTATGGATCACACATGGCTAATAGCTTTCCTGAGCACAGGGGATTTGCTGTGTGCACAGAGGTGTATACAGCATGCCAGATGCATCCCAGATGTGCCAGGCTTGCTGTAGAGGTGGTCCACTTCACACAATGGGAACAACCAGGATTTCCAGATAAACATCAAGGTGTGCGGGGACAGGCTATCTGGCTGGAACAGAGGCCACATCCAGGGAACAGCAGGTCTGCACTAGCTCTACATCCAGCTCCCTGCAAAGCAAGGGCTCACACCTTGTCTCTTCACTTTCCTCCACGGTTAGCTGGAAGGCCTTGCTGTAGGGGAGCAGCTGGTGATAATTGCATTGGTAAGAGGTTCAGTGCCTTGCACAGGGCCATGGATTGCACTGGGTGTACTGGGGCTGTTGTTTATAAAGGGAGCACCTGAGCGGTAAGAAGGACGTGAGGAGAGGACATGTTGGGATGAAAATCTGGTGGAGACACAGTGAGAGAGCAGAGGGTAAACATGTGGTCAGTGAAGGACAACATCAGTCTCACTGAGCGATGCTTGAGCAGCCTGCACTGCCCCTATGGCTGGAAAGCTGCAGAAATCCCCTTGACAAAGATCTGGGCAGATGGAGGAGTGAGAGTCTCAGTGCTGGAGCCTCCCGAATCCCAAGCTTCAGACTCTGCAGTGAGGAGCAGTGGACAGCCTCCTGGAAATGATGAATGGTTGAAAGACTCATATTTCAGTGAATAGTGCAACTGCCCAGTGTAATACAACTGCCTAAATGCAGTCCAGTTGTGTGTATGGTGGCAGGGCTTGGAAACTCTTCCAAATAAAAGGACCTCTTGCAGCTGTGTTGGAAACCTGTGCCTGGCCAGCCTGTGGCAAGCAGAGCAAGGTGGCATGGCTGACTGGGGAGGAGGCATGCCATTCCCAGGGAGACCTGGGCAGTCAGTTGCTGTGGGCAAAGGCACCCACTCTTTGGGGATGCTGCACCCATGCTGTGTCCGATGCAGAGGTCTGTATTGCTCAGCACAGCCCTGCTGAGCCGGAGAGCTGTAGATCAGCTCTCAGTCAAGCCAAGGGAGTTTGGAATAATTTTCTTAAAATGGTGTTTTCCAGCACTAATGGCATTGTTAATCACTCATCTTTCTGTCTTTGCAGAGAACGTGCAAAAGAGAGGCTTATGGCCAGCACAGGGGTGGCTGCAGCCTCAGCCTGGCTTGGCTAGTGAAGGACCAGATGACTTACCCTGGAGCTAGGGGGGCTAAAAATTGCAAAGAAAGGATTCCTGATGTGTTAATCACGCTTTTGTCCAGGGTACCACACAAGCAACTGTGGTCTTTCAGAGAGAACTCAAATCTCTCTAGGGGAATGGCTCGAGGGTTAGTTGGCTCCTAAGCAAATGCAGGGCTGAGTGCCAGTAGCACCAGGGAGGCAAAGCAGAGAAGATGCAGAGCTTGGGCCAGCAGTCCAGAGCCGGTGGGCAGGTCTCTGGGGGAGCTTTACTGTGCAAAAACAGCTGAGGGAAACAGCATGTCACACATAGGTGTCTGCTGTCCTGAAGGTTTTATCAGGAGAAGGTGACCCTGCGTTGTGGCCAGGACCAGAGCATGATCCCCTGAGGCACAAGGAGACAGACCCCAAGGCTGAATACACAAAGGGTCAGAGTTGCCTCTCCCTGGTTTTCAGATCTCAGAAATGTGTTTGTTTTGAGTGAGTGAACACAAGCCTGGCAGGGACCTGCTGAGCTGCTGGGGCCAGGAGGCAAGGTAATGCCGCAGTAAAACCAGTTTGGTTTCTTGTTCCCACTACTGCTGAAAAGATTTATTCTGACCTTCTGGACTTGGGTGGAGACCACCAGCTGCTTCCCGGGCAGCTGGGGACGTGCTTTGTCTACAATCACGGATGAAGAAGCTGCCACTCAGTGGCCCAGCTTGGATCTGGCCCAGGCTGGGAGCAGCAGAGCCACCTCCAAAGCTGGCTCAGGGACAGCAGTGACCCACACCTGTAAATCACCTGGAGACGGTGGTGAGCAAGTTGAAGGAGGAAGGGGGTAGTCTGGTGGGACCAGGGCTGAGGCGCAAGGTGAGGGGATGATGTCCGCTGTCAGGCAGATGCTCTGCCATGTGCTTTCTGTGCTCCTCCTCCCCAGGATGCGGGAAGTGGACCTGGGCTGTGGGAAGGCTCTGCTCATCAAGGAGAGCGGTGAGTTCCACGCCGTGGGACACAAGTGCCCCCATTATGGGGCCCCCCTTGTCAAAGGTCAGTCTGTGTCACTTCATAAGAGCTTCACCAAGAGCTTCAGAGTGTTGGCAAAAGCAGCCCGATGCTCATCCAGCTGCGTTGCCCAGACACCAGGCAGTGCCATGCTGCAGGCTCAGCATCATCCCAGCATCTCCTTGCTAGGGGAATGCATGAGCAGAAAGCTGGGGCTGCACAAAACTACTGGGAGCACATTGCCGCAGGTCTGGTTTGCTGGTGACCCCAGCTTGCCACTGCTGGTCACAGGGCTGGGGCTTCTCTGAGGAACAAAACAGCATAGGCACCATTAAATTCTGCTTCTGCTTCATTCTTCAGCTGGAGCTGAACCTCTCTGGGATGGTATGAAACAGCTACATCTCACTGTCTCCATGCAAACACTGGTTTTATGGGGCTTCTCATGTTGTTCTGTTTATGGGTTCCCAGCCACGGGGGAGTTAAAAAAATGTCTTAAAGGGAAAAAAAAAAATCATCTTATGATTTTTCAGACCACTCAGTCTTAAAAAAACCCCACAAAACCACAGCTCCCTGTAAACCAAAATCCTGTTTGGGGGAAGGAGGAAGCTCTTTGGACTGATGGGATCCTTGCAGTAGCAAGAAGAGATGTTGCTGGACTTCCTGATTGAAGTGGGGTGAGGTACAGTGGTTTCCCATCTTGCCACATAAAAATACACATCCTGGAATTTTCTCAGCATGGGCTTCAGGCAAGTCCCGAACCAGAGTCTAAGTAATGGCAGCAGGCAGGGCTAGCCCTGCTGTGTGCTGGAGAAGTGCCTCACCCAAACTTGGCAGGAAGGGGGCACTTAGCTGGAGGTGGGATCCTGGAGAAGCCAGCAGAGCATTCTGCTGGGTGCCCTCCGGGCACTGCTGGCCCAGCAGTGTGGGGCTCTCAGCCCCCTGCCTGAGGCTAGCAGACCGCTGAGCAGGGCAGGAGCCCCACACTGCTCCATGGCCAATGAAGGGGAGAGCCCGTCTGCCTTTCAGAGACCTGCGGGCATGTCCCTGAGACTGGCTATTTGCACAAGGATCTTGCCGGGGAATATAGGATCTGCTGTGGAAGTAAGCGCAGGGGCTGCCCCTGCATCCTCCTGTGTGGTGGGTGACAAGACACGGTACTGCTGTGCCTCGGCAAGCAAAGGCACAAGCTCAGGACCAGTATGAATGGCCAAACTGTAGCTGTTTGCTCTGCCCCGGTGTTGTGAGCCAGCTCTTTCAGGCAGGGAAGACAAAGTCCAATATAGCAGTCTCTGCGCAAACACTTGTGAGGAGTGAACTCATGGCTTTGGGCATGTCACTTGCTCTCAGTAAGTGATGCTCTGCTTGAGGCAGTGCTTGCTCCAGGTGCTACCGGGGCTTTTAGGGCTGACTACGAGACCCTAGAGACTGCAGCCCCAGGCCCTGCCAGAGAACAAGATTATATTCCAGGCAGAGCAGACAGCTTTGGACCTGTGCTCAGAGGTGCTGGAAGGGCACTGTCAGCAAGGGCATTTTAGATGGAATCCCTCATACAGGATCCCAGTTGGTAATTGTGTTCACTCTACCTCAAATTGCCCCATGTGCAAGAGCCACGTCAAGTAGCTAAGGTGCTGCTGACCTTCCAGGTCCACAACTGCCATGTGTCATGTAGGAGAGGTGACACCTCTGGGTAAAGAAGGACTGTCACAGGTACATGCTTGCAGTCTGGGCTTTGAAGCTGCTTGGTGTGGAGCAGCACCGCTCCTGCCACTGCAGGAGGCCCTGGGCAGCAACCTTCAGCCTCAGAAGGTCAGCCTCACTCAGCAGTGGTGTTCACGCTGTGAAGAAACCGAGGAGTCCACCATTGCTGGGATAGTGGGAGGGAGACCTGGCCTCTGCCATCCCTGCCCTGGCCAGGCCACAAGCAGCTCAATCTCAGTAGGCTGCAGGCAGGGACAGAGGCAGCTGCAGGGCAGCATCAACTCTGTTCTGCTGTGTTTTGTGCAGGGGTTTTGTCCAAAGGAAGAGTTCGCTGTCCCTGGCATGGAGCTTGCTTCAACATTGCCACAGGAGACATAGAGGACTTTCCTGGCTTGGACAGCTTACCCAGGTTCCAGGTGAGACCTTTGTTTTGCAGGAGAGGAAATCACAGGATGTTTTGGGTTAAAAGGGACATTTGCAGATCAAGTCCAGCCCCCTGCCATGGGCTGGGCCACCTTCCACTACACCAGGTTGCTCAAAGCCCAGTCCAGCCTGGCCTTGAACACTTCACAGATGGGACATCCACAACTTCTCTGGGCGACTGGCTTCAGGGTCTCACCACCCCCATTGTAAAACATTTCTTCTTACGTCTGATCTGTGTCTTCCCTCTTTCAGTTTAAAGCCATCGCCCCTTGTCCTGTCACTACAAACCATCATTAGAAGTCTCTCTGCATCTTTCTTGCAAGGCCCCATTAAGTACTGAAAGGCTGCAATAAGGTGTCCCCAGAGCCTTGTCTTCTCCAAGCTGAACAACTCCAACTCTCAGCCTTTCCTCACAGGAGAGGTGCTCCATCCCCCCGATCATTTTCATGTCCCTCCTCTGGACCCCCTCCAACAGGTTTATGTCTTCTTGGGCTGAGGACTACAGAGCTGGATTCAGAACTGCAGGTGGGGTCTCACCAGGCAGAGCAGAAGGGTAAAATCTCCTCCCTCGATCTGCTGGTCATGCTGCTTGTGAGCAGCCCAGGATACGGTTGGCCTTCCAGACTGTGAGCATACACTGCCGGCTCATTTCCAATTTTTCACCCACTGGTGCCCCCAAGTCCTTCTCTGCAGGGCTGCTCTGCATCCATCCCCCAGCCTGTGTTGGTACTGGGGGTTGCCCCAACCCAGGTGCAGGACTTTGCACTTGGCTCTGTTGAACTTCATGTGGTTGGCATGGTCCCACCTCCCCAGCCTGTCCAGCTCCCTTAGGATGGCATCCCTTCCCTCCAGTGTGTCATCGCCACCATTCAGCTTGGTGTCATCCACAAAAACGCTGTTTGCATTGAATAAGCATGTTTCTTGAATGTGTGAAGCAAACATTTTCCAAGGACATGCTAGGGTGGCCAGTGGAGAGCAGCACTTCACACAGCTCTCTCTCCTTCCTGCAGCTCCTCTTGCATCCACCCACAGGCATCAGGCACCTTCTGGAAACCTGAGGGTAGGGGTTCACAGTTTGGGAGGTCTCTTGAGCAGGAGTGGGATGAGACTGCGAAAGCAGCTGTAAGCCTGAGATAGAAATCAGGTTTTACACTGACCATTGGTGCATAGTTGACAAGAGACAGGAAACATCCCACAGCCTTCAGCTGGAGTAAGCCCTGCCATGGCCTGAGCCACTCTTGCAGGAGACCTGCTGCTCTGCTCATTAACTGTTGCACAGAGGGAGTAATCGACCTCTTCATGCCAGAGGTGCTCACTGTCCTGCAAACTGCTGCTGTTCTGTTTTCTGCAGGTGAAGATTGAGAAGGAGAAAGTGTACATCCGGGCAAGCAAGCAGGTGAGGGGCCACTGGCATCCCAAAATCAATGCGCATGCTTTTGCTTTTTGTTCTGTGGGTATGGGGGAAATGCTTTTCTTTCAGCTCTCTGAAGGGGAAGCAGTGTCTGAACAGAAGGATGTGTGAGCGTCCAACATAAAAAAAACAAAGGTCCACCTAGCCCAGTCCTGTCTCAAGCAACAGCCCAAAGTTTGTATGGAGGCATGAGTGGTGCAGGGCAGAGGTGTCGCGTGCCCCCAGTCCTGCCTACAGCTTCTGGACACCTGAGATGTGGAGTCCATAGATTGATGAGGTCTACCTGATGTTTGTCTGAACTTGTCCTGTGTTTCCTTAAGTTCAAAGCAACTTTTAGTTTAGTTGGCCCGTGGAAACAGGCCTGTTCTGTCAGCCTTTTGGCCTCACCTGCTGGATCTGAATGCGGCATGGTGATGACAGAGGTCGTCTGTGCTCCCCGTTGAGCCCAGATATCATCTCCTTTTGCTGGAGAGGAACCTGGTGCATGGTCAGGGATGGCTCTCAAACCCCCAGATATGATGGAGACTGAAGCCTGTTCAGGCCACTGACACCTTTCTTTCCATGAAAAGCCGCCTTCTGATTCCTATCAGGAGTATGCACATGTGAATCTCATGGCTCAGAACCAGCTGGACCCTTAGAGCATTTGGATTAGATCCAGAGACATCACCTGAATAACAGCACTTCTATTCCAGCTGATAGGGGTGGGATGTGATGAGGAGGGTTGAGCCTATTCCCTCTCCTGTAAACAGATTTTGGCTTCTGATGTCTGGCAGTGTGAGTGCTGTGCAGTGTAGGACAGCAGAGGTATGCTGGGATAGGTCCTTGGGTGTGCTCTGGTAGGTGGGACAAGTCCATCAGCTCCTTTGGATATCAGAGGTACATAAGTCCTGCTCAAGTGCAGGATAAATAAAGTTCCTGATAGGACTTCTGCATCTCCATCTCACCTGTTGGCTGCAGAATGGCACAATGACACACCTGGCTGCTTTTCCTAATTTTTTTCCCAGCTCTGTGTGCCTGGATTAATTTGCAGAAGATGATGGATTTATTTTTCTTTTGTACCTTGGAAGGAGGTAGTTCACTGGATGGTAGAGAGGTATTTGGATGAGCGTAGGTTTGGAGTCCTTGTTGGGTACAAGGGTGAAGTTGTCTCTGTCCAAGCTGTTTTATGACAACACTGTAGTTGTCCCCATTCCTGGTTACCCTTTAACCTGGCTACCAGGTTAAAGCTGAGAAAGGATAATGACGTTTGTTCTCTTTATTGGTGTTACAGGCTCTTCAGGCACAGAGGAGGACAAAGATGATGGCGAAGTGCATCTCCTTGAGCAACTATAACCTGAGCAGTACCAACGTTCTGATCATCGGTGCAGGTATCGGGTGGCATGTGCTGGGACTACTGCATGTGTCCTCTCCCAGGTGGGTGTGGGGAGAGCAGGGTGTCTCTGCTGTGCACCTTCTGTCACCCCACCTGCATCCCTCCCTGTGAAGAGGATGAAACCAGAGTGTCTTCCTGAGCCTTTTTGACCTAGACATAAGGTCCAAAGGTGCTCTGTGCCTCTGGTCTCACAGTCCTCTCTAGCAGGTGCTCTGAACCCTCTTCCCTCTACAGCCTGCCTGGATACATCACTAACCACTGATTTCCATAACTGCTAAGTGTGAAGTCCTCTTAGGGGTTCCTTTAATGTGGACACACCTTTTCCTCTTGGAGCCTGCACTTCTCTGTCTAATCCTATTGCAGCTGCCGGCAGCTCACCTCAAGGTGCTTCTCCGAAGATAATTTCTTCCATCTTCCCAGAAAATATAAAATCCCTTCATTAAAACCACCAAGCTATCTTTTCTTACCTCTTGGCCCAGCTCCATTTATGTAATGCAATTTTTGTAAAAAGCCTGGTGGAGTGAATCCCATCTTCCAAGTTTGCCTGTTTCTGGAACTTGTTGGATGCTAGGCTGGACCCTGTCATAGGGAAATTGAGGGTAGGAGGAGAACACAAACTGTCCTATATTGGAGCTGGAGTTGGGAGGGAACAGCAGCTCCCTGCACGTGGGATGTTGCCCTTTGATTACAGCCCCCAGGTCACCAGATCCAGCCTGGGGAAATGGGGAGCACACTGCGATCTCCCACTCCTGAAGTCTAACTTGTGGATTGTAGCCTAAGCAGAGGGGAAAACCAGCCTGGCCGGCTTTTCCCTTGCTGCTGGGCAACATTTTTCCCTTCACTATGCCCCTGCTGTTTGTTGACTGAAAGCCAGGTTGTGAAACTGCTGCTCTCCAAGGTCAGCCGGGCTGTCCTAGTGTACAGCAGGGCTGGAGAGTCATCAATATCCTCAGCAAAGTCACTCAACAGACAGCATTAGCCATCGCTGAAGGAGCTTTCTCAGGCTTGACCAGCTAAATTTACAGGGCTGTTAAAGACCAAGGTCTGTTCTGGTGGATGGGAAAGCATATTTCAAAGCTGGGGGTGTGGGAAAGAAGTGTTGGGAAGAGACAACCCATCCAGTACTGCATCGAGGACCAATATCCAGCCACGCCCAGCAGAACTGAGGCAAGTGACCATGGTCTCCTGCTTTGGCTTGCCCAGGGCCACTGCTGTGCTGCCCTGCTTGGTTCCCCATTGTCCGTGTGAAATCCTTGTAGATTTGGATGAATCTTTACTATCAAAAATTGAATTTGCAAGGAGGGCTCATGGGAGGATCAAACTGGCATCAGTGTAGCGTCAGTCCTGGCTCAGCGTGCTCCAGGCAGCATGCAGGGGACAGCCTTCCTGCTCTCTCTTTCATCGTCCCCTGCCTCCTTCAACAGGAGCATTTTGTTGATAAACCAAACCACGATACTGTCCAGGTACATGTTCTTTTACTGGTATTACAGAAACTCTGGCCCTTACAACACTCATCACTGAACAAGGCTCCCTCAGTTGAGAAGAGACTCAGGACTTTTCACCTGAGCTCTCCATTCTCACCAATTTGTCCAGGGAAGAAGGGAAGTGCCCATTAAGCCATCAAGCTGCCTGGCTGCAGGGGACAAGGCAGTTTTTTGTTTGATTTAGGCTTTTTTCCTGTGTTTAAAAGCAAGCAAACAAAAGAACCTCAAAGAAATGGCATGGAAAATCCTCTGCAGTGAATCATGCAATTGCACTTCAACTGTGAAGGGAGAACTCCCTGCCCTCCATGTTGAGCTGTAAATTCACCAAGTCCGGGGTGAGGAGAGGGGAAGATGCAAGGCACTTCCCAGACTAGGGGAGTTCAAGGGTCCCTGAGCTTGTGAGAGGTATGTAGGCATTGGCAGCACTCCTCAACTGTGCTCTTTGTGGGTTGGCATGTGTCATGGTTTAGCCTTATCTGGCAAGTACCACACAGTCACTCGATCACCTCCCTTCCCCCCTTCCATGGTGGAGGGGAGTCAGAGGAGAAGACAAGGAAAGCTTGTAAAATTGAGGTAAGAAATACTGAATAATATAAATGAAAATGATAGCAATGCTAATACTAACAATACTACTACTACTAAGTAATTAAAACAATAGTAAATAGAACAGCTATCCCAAAAGCTCACCGGTACCCTTTTGGGTCCTTACAGCACCCTCTCCTGAGACAGTCTGTGCCGAGGATGCACGGGGCATCTGAGCCAGTCACAGTGGGGTGTTTTTGCCACTCCTTCCCAGTCAGGCCTATTTCAGCCTCCAACACGGTCAGTGTTGGTCAAGCCCCCTGTCACTCCAGAAATACTAATGGATTGTACCTCTTTATAACTTGATGGCAGGAGGGGACCATGTACCCCCTGGGTGCGCTGTGCCCCCGTGCCCACTAGAGCTCTGTACTCCTGCAGCTCTGGTGTGCCAGGCCATTGAACCCACACAGCCCAGTAATCACGGTTGTCCCTAGAATCATAGA